GGGCCGGGCCGGGCAGGGGACGCGGTGTCCCGGGGGTGCCCCCGGCTGCCCCCGGGGTGTCCCCTCCCTGCCGCATACCGGGGCCGCCCCTGCCCCCCCCGGCCCGGGGCGGCGGGGTCCCGGGGCTGGGTGAGGAGCCTTCCCTGGCACCAGCACCCAGCCCCCTTCCCTATCAGCAGGGTGCCCCTGTGTCCCCCCGGGGCGCCCCTGTGTCCCCCAATGCCTCTGTGCCCCCTGGGACACCCCTGTGTCCCCAGCTGGACAAGTCGTCCCCAGCCAAACCCGCTCATCTGCCCCCTCCAGGGCCTGACCCTCATCCAGGGTGACAGCGCGGGGGGCTCGCGTCCCCTCCCTGCCCCGTGGGGCTGGGGGCCACAGCCCCGAACCCCCTGAGCTGCTCCATCACCCACCCTCGAGCATCCCCAGCCCCGGCTGGAGCGGGGGCCCGGGGGGCGAGCGGGGCCGCCTGGCAGTGCCGCTGGCCCGGATGGGTGCTGGGGGGCAGCCCCAGGGTGGGTGCTGGCCAGGGTGGGTGCTTGGGGGCAGCCTCGGGCTGGGGGTCCGGCTCCGGCCCAGGGAAGGGACGTCCCACGGCAAGGACATGCCTATGGGTGCTCCCCGGGAGCGTGGGTGCCCAGGGGTGGGTCCCTGCAAGCATCGGCAGGGCTGATCCCACCCCGGCATCCCTGCAGCCCCCTCGCTGCGCTGGCCGCCGCGGTCGGGTGCGGATGTGGCACCCCGAAGGCATGGCGCCGCATTTTGGGGGGGGACACGTGTGCTCCAAGGGGTGTGGGTGTCTGCCTGGCAGGGAAGGGGTTAACGCCACGGGGGGTTTCGGGGTGCCGGGGTGTCCCCAGCCGGGTACACCCAGGCCGCTCCTCGCACCGGTGACCTCACGCTACTGCCATGGCAACGACTCATGAAGTCACCGGTGCTGAGAGCGGGGCGGCCGCCTCGAGCATGGGGTGATGGGATGGGAGCGTGGGAGGCTGCTGAGCGCCGTCCCCCCGCTCTCACCGCGCTCCCTGGGCCCCCCCCAGAATGAGCTGTGCCCCCGCCAGCGCCGACGCCTGACCCTCGCCCTGCCCGCGCCACCATGCTCATCAAGGAGTACCGCATCTGCATGCCGCTCACCACCGAGGAGGTGAGCGGGGGGCAGCAGGGGGCTGGGGGTGTCCGTTGGGAAGAGGGGTGCACAGGCGGGGGGAGCCCCAAGCCCCCGGCCATGGGTGCCAGGGACAGCTCGGCTGCAGGGACCCACCGACGGAGGGGGATGTGGGTGGGGGGCCCGTACCCACAGCAGCGGGGGGCCAGGGGGTCGG